TATTGTAATTTTTTGCTCTCTTTAGAAATGCAATGTAGGTAATGAGTCATTTATAATCTCTAACTATTAATATTATAATATATTTGTATTTACTTTATATTGATTTACATTTATGTAGCTTTGATTGTAAATTAATTTGTTCTACTTATTACTCTATGCCTTTGAACGTTTTTAATAATAATAAAAATAAAAAATATATTCGAAATAATTGGTCAAACGAACAAAAAACATTACCAAACTGAATTAGATCAAAATTTACAGTCATGGCTATAACTGATTAATTAGTTTGAAAGAAAAGTGGTTTATACTATAACTATCTCAATGAGTTTGTGAATAAAATGAGGTTCTTGTGCGTTATTTACTTTTTGTAAACGGGCTAAACACAGATTTGTAAAATATTTTTATAGCGTATTACTAACTATACGAACCGTTTAAAGCGGAACACAGGATGAAAACGTTAGGTAACAGACTTGTCAGGACGATAAAACGCAACAGATGCAAAACTTAAAGCCACCACCCTTCTACTAACCACCTCCACCTCTAAGCACTCCTAAAAAAAAATTTTAAAAAAATATCGTCGTCGCACGAGCATAATATAACAATTAAAATGCCAGGGTTGAAAAATTTAAATTTTGCTGAAACGTATAAAAGTAATCACCTCCAAATGATCGATTTGCATCCTGTTCAACTGCACAAATACCTATTAGCAGCTATAAGGTGACGCAAATCTGGTTTCACTCATTTCGGTAGGTTCTGATAATATATGATAATATACTAAAATATATCAAAACAATAGCGTACCAGATGCGTATAAATTAAACTAATACGGCTATATTTTATTTAAAACCCGACGAATACGATCAAGACTTCACGTGAGACAATTTCATAATTTATGATTGGTATATTTTAGTGTAGAGCGTGAAATTAGTTGTGTTATATATTACAATGTGTCTTTTTTTTTACGATTTTTGTTCCTACAGAATGATTAGATTAACTATTTTTAATTTAATTCGTAATACCCAAAATCAGCTATTGATCTAAAGAAAGTAAAAGGTATTATTTAAATGTTCACACAATATCGTACACCATACATATTCAGTATTTTATCAACTAGGTACTATTTATTTTGTTTATATAATTCAAAATGTAGCTAAGCTCGTCAACTGTTGTTCACGTATTGAAATTTAATATCATCATTCTGCTGATAGTTATACGAAAGTGTATCTAGGGAGAAAAAATTTGTATTTTCTTTTACAAATGTAATTTCCACATTCGATGGATTACTGTTATATTTATTTAATGCAGCTACTATCTGGTATCATGGTAATATTATATAGTTATAATATATTTATGTTTTATATTTTATGGTAAAATATCATGCAATTCTATTTACAGTAATTTTTACCTAAAGCTGGTCACACACTACGGTTTTATTTGTCCGTGAACGGTGTACAGTGTAGTTCATACAACGTACACTGATAGTGTGTGGGCAATAAAACGGATGAAAAACACGGTACACTGATACGGAATGAAAACTGAAGAGTTTGATTTTTTGTCCGTGTTCGGTGTTTGGAATGGACAAAACCGAAGGTGTGTGCCCATGTTCGGTGTTCGAACTAAAACCACACAGTTTTAAAAACTAAAAATAGCATATATAAATAACCCCAATATTATTATTTTCAAGATTTTATTTTTGTACTGATAACAATAATTATTGTACAATATAAATTTAGTTTATTTAGTATCAAATACAACTATAGTTAAGTACGTTTAGTACGACTAGTACGTTGATAATAATGTTGATAGTTTGTGGTCGATTCGGTCATTTTTTTAAAAACGGTCCGTATTGTTCGAACATCGTACAAAGATATTAAATGGATGGTGTGTGTCGTTCATCAGTGTACGAACTAAAAATGTCGAACTACACCGTACACCGTACACGAACAATTAAAACCGTAGTGTGTGACCAGCTTAATACAAATACGATTTTATACGTTATACAGACATGAATAAAAACTTATTTTAAAACCAGTTAAATAATCTGAATTATAAGAAAATTTAGTAATTTATAGAGTACTCGAAAATCTTATGGGTGAATAACAATGTAGAATAGACACAATATATATTATGGCGAAATCAAGCTATATGATTCAGTTAACGGTCTATGACCTATGCTAAATGATCTTGGTGTCCGCATCGATCATTCAATAATGCGAGATATTTAAGTTTTATAGAAAAATTTTTAATTAAATACTTCATTTTAATAATATTATGTTACTTATGGTTTAATCAGTAAGTTGTTAAAACACATACAAGACTCATATCTATTTTTCCATCATTCTTTTATTTATCCAACGAAGAAAATAATTATAATATAAATATAACAATTCACAATTTATATGCTAATTCTATAGTAAATTATGTTTTAGGGTTTTTGGAAAATCTACATTAATTTTGTTATGCGAGTTTTTTCTCACTTATATAAAATACCTCAAATGCAAACCTAACTTAATAGTAAGCAAACAAAATTGTATTACAACATTCATAACTTCGCGGTGCATTATCACGAGCAATAACCTCGGTAGCTTAAAAGCACAATAATTTCGATGAAATTCAGTATATACATACAATACTACCAAGTAGGAGAGGAACGTTGTATGTAGTATATGTATTTGTAAAAAATACACATTATTATGATATTATTATGGATCCATGTATCGGCATCATCAAAATCAGTCAGTCATATCGTTTTCGATATATGTATAGTTTCTCGAACAGCRTAGTCAACAGACACGTGTGCGTATTTTTATATTTAAAATGACACACACTGTTGGGAAGAGGGAGCTCAAGACCATCTGTGTTGTAGCTGTTCGAGGTGGTCGAGCCCAATTTTCGATTATAATATAATATGCATTATGCTTACCTACTAACACAATGTGATTGAACTGATTTGCCTAATAAATAACCCCGGAAAAAATAACCCTATAATAAAAATTATTTGTAAGTAATAAAGTATAAATTTGTAAAACAATGTCAATAATATATAAATAAAAAATTCTCATTATAAACGAGGAATACAATACAATTTGTCAATTTATAATATAATATAATAATTTGGTAGTAAAGTATAAATTTGTAAAATAATGTCAATAATATATAAATAAAAAATTCTCATTATAAACATTTTCTTAAATTAAAATACATTTTTTTTTATAGATTTGAGATTAATTGGAAAACTTATATTATGGGGTTATTTTTTCGCGTGGTTATTTTTTCGGGGGTTTTTTTTTCGGGGTCTAAATTTCCGGGGTTATTTTTTCCGTGGTTATTTTTTCGCGGTACCGATTGAACTTCACAAAATGCAATACATACTCGTATATTCTTCGTGTACACGGTTTTAAAATAATAATAATGATAATAATATACGCAATTGACGTTTGCTGGCTAGTGCAAGACTTGCCCATTACTTCCGGCGGTGGACGTTTGCGCGTTAGGTGGCTGAACGGTAATTTTCCGTTGCTCGTGGTGACCGGACAAATCACGTAACGAGTCCGTCTCTGCAGATACACACACACACACACATTCCTAATTCGATTTCATCAGCCATCCGTTTTTGTTTCCGCTCCCGACCTAATGTGAACGTCGTTTCCGTGAGATAAAAGTGAACCGATGACGACAAACACGTCCGCCTGTCGATGTCACGCGTAAAGAGGACATTCTAATACAGTACGAGACGACTGGGTCCACAAAACAAGCAATAATAAAAAATAAAAAGTAGACGTGTTGCATCATAATATTATTTACATATGAGACTTCAACCCTTACTCACACATCCCAACCCCACAATCCCCTAGAACACGAGATCGTATTGAATCTGTATAAAATTACTTGCTCTAGCCTCTACGATAGAATTTTTTTCATCGGTAATGTTTATTTATATAGGTATTATTTATTATACGTTTATTTAACTTTAACGTTATTTTACGATTACTGCCGCGTTAATACCGTTTCTGTTAAAGCGAAAATAACAGAATACGCTACTGAAATTGATATTGAAGAAAATTGTTTTTATTATTTTTACATTCAAGCGCCTTTGACGATACTCAAAAGCACTATTATTGTTGAAACATCGTGGTAGTGGCGACGAAGACGATTTTCGAATAACTCGGCGGCCGCTATTCGCACTTAAGAAGTCATTTTTCTTCGTATGATTTGCCGTAAAAAATAAAAAGCTCATTTTATGGCCACCATTTTTCGCTCTATTCGTATATTTGAATAAGTAATAAAATTTATATTCCGCCAATGCTTCCTAGTACCAACTAATTAACAATTATGTAGTGTCTCACATCTCGTCCGAATTTCCGTTTCAAAACAAACAATTAACACGTAACGTAACTCAGTATAGTACACAAACATAAGTCACACAGTTTCCAATTATCTTCGAAGTTTACTCCTGAATGGTTTTTTAGTTTTAATTAATTTTGTTCTTACACCCGCGTTATTGGGGTTAACGATAATACGATTATTTAATTTTCTTTGAAGAACATTATTTATTTTTTTAAATAAAACATTCGAAACCACCAGTAAAATATATTTGAATTGAATTCAGTTCATTAAAACTTTTTATTTGAAGACATTGAAGTTCTTAATGAAACATATAAAATTTAACTTAATGAATGTAGATCGAATGCAGAATGATCAAAGTTTGAAAACACAATAAACATAATTACATGAAATATTGACAATATCAATCATTAAATCATTAGAGCTTAAAAATAAATAATATATATATATATATATATATATATATATGTATATATATATATATATGTATTACTTGTTTTCAAGTTACAAGTACATAGTATAAATGCAACAAATTGTATCAATGTATCAAATGTATATAACTAAAAGCACATGTATATGGAAAAATAAAAAAAATAAAAACGTACCATTTATTATGTTTTAAACCCACGATCTAAAGTTTTAATATTTTCTTTTAGATCGGTTGGATGAAAGCCGAAGATCAAACAATATTAACGTTTCACGAGCGTGTAGTGGCTTCAAATGGTCGATTCAGCGTAAGTCATGAGAACTACAGAACTTGGTATTTACATATAAGAGACGTGGAAGAAACTGACAAAGGCTGTTATATGTGTCAAGTAAACACAATCGAGATGCAAAAACAAATCAGCTGTTTAGACGTCTTGGGTAAGTGAACAACACAAAAAATACTATTATATAATAAATGAAATATTATGCTATTATATTCAAAGCCTAAACCTAAAATCCGGCAAACTAGGCATCTGGCACAAAATTAACTACTGAAATATGATATTGAATACAGTATTTTTATTTTTCTTAAACTTAATTTTAGTCTTCCATCAAATTTGTTAACACGTCTACAGACTGTTTGTTAAATATCGAAAATATATTTCATTATACTGTCTATACTTAAATATATCTTTACATTTATCTAATAAACAGCATCTCTCGACTGTAAAAATCATTGAATTATTGAAAAATTTTACTTGTAATGTAAATTGCGTTTTCAAAATGATCAGTTTATTATTTTTTTATGGTTCTTGGGTAAAATAAATTGGATGGTGGATTAATAATTACCATTACATTAGTAATGACAAACTTGTTTTATAATACACAATAAATTTGTACCTATGTATATTATCCTAATCATAACTCAATAATAATATTAATAGAAGATACCCATGACATRTTTCTTTATTAGCTACGATCTTGGGTACCCGAACTCTTTACTACTTGTATGCATTTTTATAATTGAATAATTTATTTGACCTGTATTCGCTTAACCAGCTAATGTATTTTAATATATTTTCGTAAAATCAGTTAAAACTAGATATTTTATTTGATATTCCGTCAAAAATATTTAATAAATTTAAAGGTAATGGCGTAATTAAAAAGAATACAATTGAATTCCAAAAAAAAAAAAAAAACTCTGTAAATTATATTATGGTAGGTATCACTTATTATTATAATATAGAAAATGTTAAAAATCTTTAATATTTTGATTTACTTCAATTTTTTGTTGGATTTATTTTTAGTATACATTTTAATTCAATTTTACATTATTATTGATACAAAATTAATATAATTATTATTTTTTTTGCAATACGATGAAAACATCCCATTTTCTCCGAAATCATCTGCAAGGAATATTAATGTTAAACTTTCAGCTCTGTCAGTTACACCCAAAAGTGCTCTTGTGTGTGTGCGTATGTTTTCGAGTTTATGAGTTGGCCACAAACTCAAAGTATTTTGAATAGTTCCGTCGATTAAGCGTCATGGTTTCTGAGTCGATCCAAAACTGCATCACGAAATCCGTTTTAAATTCGTAACTTTATATAATTGCCTTCCGGCCGTCTGACACGCGTGATGAAGACGACGACATACGATTATCTAAAGTCACGTGCTATTATCTCGGGTCGTCATCGACCTGTAACCGCGTGCACACGTCCTATAACCTCCTCCTCTCTACCACCACCTTGTCCCTTAACCACTGAAACGATGGTATATTGGACGCACGCAACAATTATTTCTACCACTGTGGTTATAATACAGTAAACAAAACGCATAATACAATTTTGTAGGTACTTGAACATCTGTACGTATGTAATATTATAATGACAGTAATATTAACGGGGCACATTGCGCTCGTTCTTGTCACGTCGATACATACATAATGTAATTAAATTAAATCAAACCTTTTGTGCACGGCAACACGGTTACATTGCATCGGAAACGTTAAAAACGAACGAGCCGGGTGTATGTGTGTGTATGTAGACTTCAAGTACAAAACTCGACAACTGAGAATTACATCGAAATCATTATTCATTACAAGAACGAAACTAAAAATAAATACATTATACACATTAAACTGAATAAAGCGCACAATGCGAATCGCTCCACATCATCTGCTCCATCCGGATCGACGACAAAAAAAACCCAAGTCGACGATAATATAGTGCGTATATTGACATGTACAACGTTATGCGTCGATGAGTCCTTTGCAGTTCAGTACCATCGGTACGGTAAATAATAATAATTGTAATTCGAATATAATATGGTATAATATAATACATTATATAATTTTATTTTATATTATTAACTCGAAACCCACCCAGACGTCAAGTATGACCCGCCAATATTTCATATTATATATTTTGTTTTCATTGTGTTATTGTTTCGTTTTCGAAGTATATTCACCTGTTAAGTACCACTGGTATAATAATGTATATGTCTATAATATTGTGTTAAAATAACGGTCGGTCACACAACAACATGATGATGGCAATCAACAATAACGACGTAAACAACCAATCAAATAGTGGATTTCTATCTATATATTCATTCGTTTTTCGTAATATTCATTGTTAAGTAATCTGCACACGCATATGTTTTATGCGGATATTTTTCCCAGAGAATAAATTATATTAGCGTTCAGCGTTATTATCAGGTCCTTAAACCATAATAATAACATTATACACGAATATTGTCATTTTTGTCATTAACAATGTCATTACGTTTAATCTTTGACCGCCTTTGGACCTCATTTGCCTATATTGCACGCGTATTTTCCAATACCGATTTTTCCAAATGGTAAAATATAATATCAATAATCATAAAATCGTAAATATAGATGTGCGCAATTTAAATGGTAGCGTGTATTGTTATATAATATATGAGTAAACCTATTTAAATCGATGGACTTATTAAACCGGAATCGTTACCGAGGTTTATTTAAATATCAACACTTTAAATTTACCTCGAACCCACGCGCACTGTCCATTTTTATGTTCTATACCTACACGTATTAAATTACCCACTTTGTTTTCGTGTCTATTAGATTTATGTTCACGCATAAACCTATAACAACCTCTTTGACCTATAAAATCGTGTGTGTTGTTTTTTGTTTATTTAAATCGTTTATGAAGTCAAACAAGAACTTATMTGTAAAAAAATCGTAATATTAAGATTTAAAAAAAAATCTTCAATCTACGTAAAAAAAGTAAGAATAAAATACTACTAGACGCGAATGGAGAATACGTGCTTGGATTTTAATATTGACGATTAAATTCCTAATATAATWTGAGTCGTTTTTCTCGCACCAATTGTATGTATGTGTTTTATGGATAAATTACTATAATTTTCATTCTAACGTTCGTTTATTACGTAATTTGTATACATTTGATCAACCTTTTATAACATTTGGATAGCGACCCTACGGCGTAACATCAAATAGGCAATTAAAGTTAGTTTAGGACTACTTAATCATAAGAATTATTTAAGCAATGTTGCTTTAAACTGCCGACGAAAAATATCTTTTTTAATGTTGGAGAAATAAAAAAWAATCTTAGGAGTATTTACTTAACTATAACACTAGTTCAAATTTTTACGAAATCTGTCGAAAGGGCGAAAATTTGCAAGTTTGAAGTTGAAAAATCATGAAAATGTTTGTGTTTATAACTAAGGATTAAAAATACAACACTAAGTTTTCCGTAAGTTTTCCTTCAAGTAGCTATGGAGAAAACTCGAAGCATCATTATAGGAAAAATTTTAAGTGCGTTTGATTTTAAATTTTTACGAAATAGCGTAACGATAACGATTTATCCTCAAACGATTTTAAATATTTGTTATTATTCAAAAAGTATAAGTCGTAGATACTTGAAAATTATACCAATTATTTACATTCGCCTTTTTTTAACATGATTTAATTTTCAAAATATTTTGATTTTTTTTTTTGAGATATTTATAGACAACTGAAATTTACAATTTTTCTGAAAATTTTTATTTGAAGTGTCGATAAAATTTTTTTGCCCTATCAAAATACTTGAAAATTTAATACAAGATTCCTTATGAGTTTTTCTTAATGGTAGCTAAAAAAAATTAAAAATCATTAGTCACAATTTTTTTTTTATAAACGTTTATAGTTCAAATTTTTACGAAATCTGTCGAAAATGCGAAAATTTGAAAATAATTTTGAAGTTGAAAAATCATAAAAAAATTTGTGTTTACAACTAAGGATTAAAAATAAAACACTATGTTTTCCATAAGTTTTTCTTCGAGTAGCTATAGAGAAAATTTGAAGCGCCATTGTAGGAAAAATGTTTTGAGCGTTTTAGTTTTAAATTTTTATGAAATCGCGTAACGATAACGATTTATCTTCTTATTCTATGAGTATATCTATGATAATATAAGGTATTATGAATTATGATAACTACATGCAATGTTTTTGGAAAAATTAATTAACCATGCCTTATGYGAAATGCGTCCTAATTGAAAAATAAAATATTTGTTTCAAAATAGAATATATGACAATATTTAAATATAATATATCCTAGACTGACAAATCATCTCCGTTCAGAATCGTTTTTCGTATACAATGATACCTATCATTGCATTCAAATCTAACCTACCCTAGTCAGAGGTCCACCCCACAACCTAATGTACAGCAGAGCGACATCCACTTACCCACTTTTTTTTTTACTCTTGTTTAAGTGCAACTATTTATATAATGAATTGAGTTTTGAAGAGATATAATGTAAAATTACTACATTTTTAATTAGTTATATTAAATCGGTATATAAAAATACAAGTAATAATAATAATAATTTCACGTAAAATGCAATAATAAAACTTAACATAAAAATTATAAATGTAATGTTATTTGTGACTGTAGTGGAAATAACTGTAAATGCGAGGTACTTTTATGTTGAGAATATTATTTACTGCTTTGGCTTCGCGGGGCGTACTGTTAAATTGCATACACAGAGCGCCGTGTCACAAAAACAAAAAACAAACCAATGCGAATGATGACTTGACATGTTCAGGGTTTCGTACAACCACAATTACATGAGTTTAATAGAATCACGATTATTCAGTTCGGTTACTGAAGGTACATTATTCTGACGAAGATCTCGTGGTTCAAGCTTGCACACAAGGTGTGCAAAAAACCAATAATAACTCAAGTCCGTATCATATAATTGCACGTCATCGGGTATCGTCGTTTAATTAAAGGCCATATAGTTGATTTTCCATACAAATGTGCGTGCACGAGAATAGCGATCAGCGTGTTCACTACTCTAGTTGTTAATTGTTGACTCTGCGAATAATATGTATATGAGATAATGCTGCGCGTAACGCGGGAGCCCGATAATTATATGCAGCAATAATAC